ATGGGTAGATGGATGGATGGATGCATACATGGATGACGGATGATGGATGGATGGATGGATGGATGGATGGATGGAGAGATGGGTAGATGGATGGATAGATGGGAGGATGGACTAACTGGCTCCTGATCATGAGGCAGAGAGAAAGTACTACCACCATTTTTGTTATCTGACAGCTAGGCAGGAGTGCGTGCATTATCTCATTTAATTCAACAACCCTATGAAGACAGCTCAGATCTACAATTGCTTATCCCAAAACCTTGAAACCAGATATGACTGATAATTCAGAACTTCTGAGGTTAGAAAAGTAATATTCATATCATAGAACATCTGTCATAGGGAATGGGATATCCCCTTATAACTACAGCAATGTTTCTGTAGCAAAAGAATAATTGATCTCTTGTTGGGTCAGGCCAGGCTCTGCTGCGAAATGAGTCTGCACCGAATTTAGGGCACCACTTGCAGCTTTCAACATTTTGGAATCGCAGGTAAGGGACTGTGGACCCGTATGGGTAGCACCCCCCAGCCCACAGCTGAGGGATCTGAGGCTCCAGGAGGCTGAGGTCACATGGACAGCCTGGAAACTCGGGCTGTTCCACTGCATGGCCTGTGCTTGCGACACGGCGACCACTGGAAGGTTTGGGCTGGGGGTTGGGTCCAGATAGATACACACTTACTTGATAATATCTTGTTCATGGGATGTAGGGGCCCAGACTGTGGCACCCACTGTCCTTCTGGGGTCACAAGTTCCCGAATGTCAGCTCTCGCTGTAGAGTTCTGGAGATTGCCTGTGAGTGGAGACAAGCAGTTCTAGCACTGGGGATTTCTAGGGGGCAAGGATGCAAGCTGGGCTGGGCTTCAGGTCTAGGCCGGAGGAGCTGGGCCTGCCCCCCTCCCCCATCCTATCCAGCTCACCTCCACAGGGGGGAAGGCTGCAGACCTGGACAGTGTCCGGCTTCTCCCCCTCACACTGCCCAAGACTGTTGGCGTTGGTCCGGCACACGACCTGCCGCTGCTGGATGCCCTCCCCGCAGGTGGCGGAGCACTGTCGCGGGAAGGCCGGGGCCCGGTCAAGCCACAGTGGCCGGGGAGGGGTAGGTGGAGAGACGAGAGGAAGGGAGCAGTGAGCTCCAGAGTCTAGCCAATGCCCAGGACAGAAAGGTACAGAGGAGGGCCCCGGGTTTCTACTGACCAGAGGGATATCCAAGGACCGCTCCAAGTAGCCTCAGGAGGACAGAACACCAGCTGTCCGTATTCCTGTGCCAGGCGAATGGCCGAACCTTCCTGTCACCTACGTGGTTAACCCTGGTTCAGGAGGGGACCTCCAGAACCCCATTCCAGCACTTTTGCCTGTGTCTACCATGTCCGGCCTGTGC